GGTTAAGGGGAGGGGGAGCCGCCGCATGCTTGCAGTGGGACGGGTTTTGTCCCTTACGCACAGTCGGGTTTGTCGATCTGGGAAAGCTTGACTGGTATAGTTAAACACGCTACCCGCATGTGGGATTTTGTGTCGTCACTGTTCTGATATAGCCATTGAAGCGGTTCTTTTCTCTTTGAACAGACAGAAAAAGAATCAGTAACATTAGCTGTTACGTTTTGTTATTTTAAACGAAAGGCACCGTAACGGTTCCCAAGTAGCAGTTAATCCTGTGTTTTCAGAGACCTGGGAAAGGTATTGTATGGGAAACTGGAAAGGTTAATTGTTGCAGCGTCGGGGTCTGATGTTAGAGTGTGAGATTATGGGCAGCTCTTTAGTCATGGGTGTCAATAGTGGAGGCACTGCTGCAACTTGTAGTTCTGAGGAAGTTCTTGGTTTATTTACGTGAAACTACTAAAGTATCTCTAGGAGTGCTAGTTTAATCTGAGCTATCCTGGTTATTTTCTGGTTTCATTGTTGGGAGTTCTTGCTTTTTTATTTTCACAGGCCGTATTTTTGGAAACCCGTGTATTCATCAGCAGTATCAGTCGTACAGTCAGAACGTGCCTTCCTTCAGCAACCTCATCAAGAAGGCATTTCCAGCAGTTATATGCAGTCATAAAGAAGTATCAGGTCAAGGTATGTTAAACTTAGTTCATTTCTTGACTAATTTTTTTCCCCAAGACATACATAGATGCATATAGTTATGCAGGCACTCTCAAGTGTACTTTTTTGTGTCAGTAGGTCAGAATATTACTTGCTACATTCTTTGTTGGCCTTTGTGCAACTCTAAAATATACTGGGTACAGGCTGTATCTTGGCAGTGTTTTGGAACCAGTCTGTTAAAGCCAGCGTAGGCCCCTCTGAACTTTCAGCTTGAGAAGAGCACTGAAAAGTTAGGTTAACCTAACTGTGTTATAGTTAATTACATATAACACAATTTAATATTACTTAATCACTTTTTAAATTTTAAGATCTGAGGGCTTTGATTTTTGCTTCTCAGATTAAAAGGTATTCTGATTTTTAGGTCGTATCTATTTGCAAAAAAAAGGAATATGGATCTACTCGAAGTGTTGTGCGTAGACTTGGGACAATTCTTTCCTTAGAACCCTACCCAAGACCTTATTTTCAGGTAAGTGATTTATTGTTATACATATGCATCAGCTATTTAAGTTTTCTAGTTTTTTAATTTAGTGATTGCTTTCCTGTTCTTTTTAGCTTGTGTAATTCTTGTGTTGTATGCCTTATCCTCACCGTTTTCAACATGGTTACAGCACTGTCTTAAAAATTCCTGTCGCGGAGGCAGAACTTTTACTATGTGCTGAATCTGGTTTCTCTTTTTTTGCTTGTTTGTTTTTAGGTTGTTCAAGACCCAAGTCCATTGGGTAATGACGAACAAAGCATAGCTCCAGCTCCTGTAGCTCCATCACTTGCTGATATCCTGTGGGTGGCAAATGATGAAGGACAAGCATTTACTAGACTTAGGTAAGTAAATGTCCTGGTTTAACCCCCAGCTGGCAGCTAAGCACCATGCAGCTGCTCAATCACTCCCCCTTGGTCGGTTGGTAGAGAGAGTCAGAAGGGTAAAAGTGAGAACACTCATGGGTTGAGATAAAGACAGTTTAATAGGGAAAACAAAAGCTGCACATGCAAGCAAAGCAAAACACGGAATTCGCTTACCACTTCCTATCAGCGGGCAGGTGTTCAGCCATCTCCAGGAAAGCAGGGCTCCATCGTGTCTAACAGTTACTTGGCAAAGCAAACACCATCACTCCGAATGCACCCCCCTTCCTTCTTCCCCTAGCTGTAAATGCTGAGCATGATGTCATATGGTATGGAATATCCCTTTGGTCAGTTGGGGTCAGCTGTCCTGGTTGTGTGCCTTCTCAACTTGTGTAGCCTCAGCCTACTCATTGGTGGAGTGGGGTGAGAAGCAGAGAAGGCCTTGACTCTGTGTAAGCACTGCTCAGGAATAATGAAGTCACCCCTGTATTAACAACACTGTTTTCAGCACAGATCCAAAATGTAGCCTCATACTAGCTACTATGAAGAAAACTTACTATCCCATCTAAAACCAGTAAAAGTATAAAAAGGAGTAATAGAAGTAACATGTCATCTGTTCTTTATGTTGTGAAGTTTTGTGTTTGTTTTTCTTTTTTCCTAGCCCCTTCAGGGTTCCAGCTAGACCAACCCTGGAAACTTTGTTTTTTTGGGGGGACAGTTCCTGCTTACCTGGAAACTCTTACTCCACAGAGTATTCTTATCTAAAATCTTATCTTCTGAAACGGAGTCCCCTCATTTCCTAGTATTATGTCAGATGCATTACTGGTATTTTAATTTGTTTTCACTCACAAAGTATTTTGTGAGAAAGGGAGTTTAAAGAAAACTTGGGTATTGCAACATACTGTAGGATTATTCTTATCTTTATCTTTTTAGTTTACATCAGTTTATCCATTTTGATAAACTTTATAAAGGGGAAAACAAGAAAAAATATTTAAATGTCTCGTTTTGACGTCCATCACTACAGTGCTATGTGTAAACCTTGATGGTTGCTTTGATGGAATGAAAAACATAATTTCTTTATTTTAAAAATTTGCCTTGAATATAGTTTATATAATTCTTTCTAGCTTTTGCAGAGTGCTAAAGGAAATTATTTTAACAATTATAAAATATTACAAGTACTGTGAAATGACAAATAATCCAGGAATTACCACACACAAATAGTATACAAGTCTTCCTCCCACTAGAGAAGAAATAGAAAGTTGTCTTACTGTTCCTCTAAAGGATATGTTCAAAAGCAGAGGATGAGTCAGAGCCAGAACCAAGATTAAAATTTTGACTCTCGTCTTGTACTACATCTGTATTTGACAATGTAATTCTACTTCATGTGGGCATGAGTTTATGATCTTTGTGCTTCTTGCTGGTAATGAAACTACAAGAAACTGATGAAATGACATACTTTTTATTAGAGAAGTTTTGATAAAGCTGTGTTTCATCTTATGATTCCTGAGATGTTAGTGCTGAATTATTGAAGTTTTTTTCTGCAGCAGCTGTAAAATACTGGAAGAATAAGAATATCGTTAAAAGGAACTGTGGCCTGTTTGGTCTTGCTTGTGCTGTTCTTCAGTTGGTCTGATTCACAGATCCATGAAAATTCATTCTTTTGTTTTCATTCTTTCTTCTTCCTCCTCTTCTCCTGGCTCTGTGGGATGTTTTTCAAGAACAAGTATTCTAATTGAGACCTTTATCTTCTGAGGCAGTGTGAAGAGCAAGTGTTTTTGGCAAATCAGAAAGCAATGCTGCAGGTCTCATTTGAAGTAAAAGGATGATTAATATAAGGGAAAAGGGCTCGTTTTGTTTCAAACAAAGCTTAGTGCATCTTGAATAAAGTGAATTTAACTTCTTTCTTTGTTTCGTAATGAAATTCTGGTAGTCTGAGTTTACACTCATTCTATATTTTAAGGTTATTTCTGCAGGCATAGCCTTGAAACAGTTTTTACACTTAAAACCTGAGACTTGTATCACAATTTTCTAATGCAGGCTGTGTTCATATGTAGCTTACAGAAGATGAGATTCTTATTCTGTGTGTATTAAAATTAATCATTATTCTCCAGTATTTTTTCTGAAAGATTGCAACTTCTTTGCTGGTTGTACTGTTCATCTTGCAGAGTTTGATGAATGACTAAAATGTATGAAGCCTAATTAAGAGTTCATGATCATTTGACTCTCCCTGCCTTTCATATCTACTGTTTCAGGTAGGGAGGAGGGAGATACACCTCTGTGTTGTCAGTGTAATAGCTATTGAATAACAACTCAATCCTACATTATGACCTTAAGATGTGTAATCTATTAATGAGTAAATTATCTGACTATTTTTTATGATGACTTTCCAAGGTTCTGTGTCATACTTGAGCAAAGGGAGACTTAAAATATTTTTAAGGTTATGAGTAGTTAAAAGAGTAAAGTCTTCTTAAATAGTTTGCAAACTTATGTCTTGCTGAACGATGATAAGTTGCTTGAACAGATGGAAAGTTTTGAGATTTCCATTGCTGGCTGACCCTTTTGAAACTGTGTCTTTTTTTGCTTTCTAGGACTGAATTGTGGAGAAAAAGTACAGCTTATGACTTGCATCCATCTGTAGATTCAATAAAAATTGTTCCAAAAAACAGTACGCAAAAAGACAGTGTTGTTGATCAAGCAGCACTCCAGAAAATTTCTGCGCTTGAAGAAGAGCTAACCTTTCTTCGTGCTCAGATTGCTGCCATTGTTTCAACACAGACATTGGGAAGCATTTCACCAAGTAAGCCATTCTGGTTTGAAGCAAACCAGTTTTCCTTTTCTTGCCTTAGAGTTCCTGCTCGCAGCTTGCCATATCTGATATTGATAGAGAATATTTCCAATCTCTGTAACTGAAATTACACCAACAAAATTTGCAGAATATAATATTCTGTCTCTTTCCAGTATTTGGTGCCAATTCCTCCTTCTTTCTAATAGTCTGTTTGCCAATTTTGAATGCAGTGGATCCTAAGTGATCTTTATCCTTATTTCCATGTTTGTGAAGGAGCTTAGTAACAACACTATCCACGTGCTACAAATTACTGCTTTGAAAAGTTAGACTATTAATTATCCTTTTTGGGTTTTGTACTGTTTCTGACAAGTTATCAAAAGAATGGACAAAAAAGTATTATAAGGAAGACAGGTTCAAGCTTTTACAAAAATGAATGCTGCAATAGATTTGTCTAACAGCCACTAGAGTATCCAAGATTGAAATTCATATTGGAGATCAACTATTTTGTCTATTTTCTTATATTCTCTTCATCTCCACCCACCCCTACTCCCCTGCCTTCCCCGAAAAAAGAAGTTTTGAGGTCTTGATTGTTTTACTTGCAGACTAACCACACTGATTGAAACATTTGTAGTATGTAACAGGTAGTTACATTTGTGTCCATTGTGCCAAGTGAACTTAAACAGTTCAGGCACCTCTCTGCTTCATGTAGATGTTCTGTTGTCTCTTCTTTTATCACTTCTCCATTGCGCTCAGTATTGTAGTCTATTTTGCGTGTTTTGTGGCTATCTTTTGCTTCATGTGGGATATTCTAACCTTCAGGCTATTGAGAATGAACTGTATGTAGTAGCAGGCTGCTTTGCTGTCGGAGTACTGCTTTGCTGATCTATCTAGTGCTTAGATTGAAGACACAAATGGAGAAACTCAGAGCAGCACAAGATACCTCAGATCCATTATTTCATGTGTTCTGAATCTGTGGCTTTGAAATAAAAAATGTTCTTTGTTTTAAATGTAATTCTTCTGTGGTATAATGTGTGAGGTGTGTAAGAAAGTGCTTTGAGGGATGTCTTTATCTTGGCTTAAAACTGAGTCACTCTAGATGTTGCTTAATATTGCTAAACGTGAAGGTATACTGACTAAAAATAAAAGCACTGTTTTTCTTTTATAAGTGCATCCAGAAGTTTTTAAAAAGTTCAACCCTCCCGATGGATTTTACCCAGTGCCAGCCATGACTTCTACACCATTGTCCGTCTCTCACAATCACTTTGTAATTCCCTCACCTCCTCCACTTCCTTCTGGTGTACCATCTGGTGTTGATGCTAGGAATTCAGCAGTTGAACTTGTAAAACAACGTCGTGCTGCAAGAAACAGTGATTCAGCTGCAGCTGGTAGTGCTGATCACCAGAGGACAAAGAACATTCCTAGTATGATGGATGTTTTGAAAGACCTAAACAAAGTTCAGTTGCGAGCTATTGAGAGGTAGGTTGAACTGAATGTGTATCAGAGTAAGCACTTAAGCAGCACCAGAGAGCATCAATGTGAGATGACATTTAATGAGCAGCTACTGCTGACAAATTTAAGATTGGCAACTTCTTAATTCATAGCTTGGCATGTAAGATACTTGTGACATGGCTTTTAGATGCATTTAAAACATGCAGAGTATCACAGCATTTAAAACTAGTTTCCCTGCTTTAGTATACAAATCTCAGGTTGGTGTGGGGAGGTGGGTATGTTGCTATCTGTAGATTGCTTACAAAGTTGCCTGTACAGTCACAGGAAATTGATATGAACAAATAAACTTTTTGGATTCACTGTCAAAGGACAAATCCTTGGGGAAAATCAGAAAAATATTGTTAACATTCCAAAAGTATTCTGGTGCTAGCTTTGAAGTGTTAAAGAAAATACATGCTATATCTTTTATTGAAAATGTTTAGTAAATTTGTATTTCAGGAGTGCAATTGGATTATAAATATTTTTAATGGTCTACTGTTTTGATGGTGAACACAGTTGACATGTTACAAAAATGCACTACTAAAGACTCAGCTCAGTGTTTGTCTGCTATGCTAGGTGTGATGGAGGTTGTCAGATGCTGTTCTGAACTTCTTGAGTTGAAAAAGTATATAAGAACAACTGGGTCTATAATGAATATTTGCAGCTCTTAATGTGGGAAGAATGTCACTTACCAAAACTTACTGCATTCTTATTTCAGCATTTTCTTAACTGTGAGCTTTATCCCTGAAAATAACTAGCACAAGTCTTGAGCAAATTATCTATGTGCAACTCTAAAGCATATCTTTACACTTTTGATGACATTCTCACAGTAAATAAAGCAAGTATAAAATACACTTGGATAAACCATTGTGTTTCCTTATTCATGTTTTCTTCCCTATAATTCTATGTACAGTAAATGAAGAAAGTGAAATATTCAGGTTGACAGTTTTAACAACCATTATGTTAGGCAGGGGCATAATTAGTAGGAAGTGGCAGGTGTGCATCCAAAATTCTTCCTGCTTTTAGGAATCACCTGTACTCTGAAGGCAGAACTTAGCTGAATAATGAATTTATATTGTTGGAGGGAGTAATGATCAAAATTGCTATAATCTTTCAGGCGGCAGTCTGACAGTATTTTAATGTGAGCACTGTAAGGGGAAGGCCTCTGTTCTCAGAAGCTGAGAGCCTGAAGATCCCATTTTCTACCACCTAAGCACCAGCTTTCACATTGGGCAAGTGTTCTAACAGCTTGATTTTATAGGAAGGGTGAACTTAATCCTTTCAGGCTTCATGTTAAATGACATCTATTGTAACTGCCAGACTTTGAGCTCAGTGCTGTCACTGTGCATTAATAGGTATGACTCATTGGCCTGGAGATAGCACTTCACTAGCAGAAGTGTGAATACTCTGTTTTTTTTTTTTTCCAAATAGCTCAGTGGTTAGGAAGCCTTTCTTATTATTTATTTTCTTGGTCTAGTCACTAACTTCCACATTTATATTAGGTCTTGGGCTGCAGGTGCTGTTTTGATCTTACATCTCTTTGCTATCTAGATTTTGAATTTGATAAGAACACTTTTCTGAATTAAAACACAAACTCCACTTTCTAATTTTTGCCTATAAAATTTTCATATTTGTATGCTCAAGTGCTCACTCGGAGGGAAAAACTGTCTTTGAAGCCTTTATGCCACATCTGATGATAATTTTTTTAATAATGAAACTTGAGTTAAGTGTGGTTTATAAATGGGGCTTATGGTCACCTGGCTGCATATTTGACAAAATTGTTGTTTTCTTTAAATATAATTGCTCTGAGGAATTTTCTAGGTTTGCTCTTTCTTGTGAGACCATAGAAAGGCATACTGTTTCAAACTGAAAATTAATGACATTTAAATCAAGTTATGTTCACAATGGTTATGAAATATGTTAGTAGGAGATTCCCACAAACATACCTTAATATAACTTATAAATGACACCTGCTATGAAAACTGCACATTTTGCCTTTTTTCCTCATTATTTATTTGCATTACTTTAATACTTTGTGTTGACTTACTGTAATTTTTCTTTATGGAACAGCATCAAGTTGTATTTTCAAGCTAAAAATCTGGCTGACAAGTTGTTGGGTATGCTTGTATTGGTCCTATTTGGTGAATTGCTGTAAAATAACATCAGCACAGTATTTGGGTAATCATGGATTTGTAGGGTAGGGTATATACAGAAGTTGTATTTCTATATTTTGGATCACTCGGCACAGGATTAAAAACAGGAAACAATTTTCCTTTTTTGTAGGTCACCTGGAGGTACTCCTCTTTCTAGACCCAGAAAGAAGCAAAGTTCAGATTGGGATCCAGTTGCTCTACTAACTCATGCACTAAAGCAGAAATTTGCACATAAAAATGAAGATGATGATTCCCTGGACAAAGAAAATCGATCTTTTGATAGCTCCTCATTTTCTAGTCCAGAGATCCCACTGGTACGTTTTCATATAAGAATGTGTTTTTATGTTCTTGAAGTGATGGCTGTTTTCATGGATAGTTGCAGGGTTTTTACAAGTCTACAGCTTCTCTACAATGTTTTTAAGCAATCAGTGTAGGTAGCTGCCTTTTTTTTTTCCCAAGTATAATCAAGGCAGAGAATCTCAAAGATTGATTATTTTGGGTGGATTTAGACTGATAATACACTTCTAGATGTGCCAAGAGGAAAAACTTAGAAGACTGACTTTAAAAATTCAGCTCATAGTTGATTAAACTATGGACATTTGCTTGATGTTAACTGGCAGGTGTCCATGTATAGAAACTGTCTAGTTAGCATATTTGACTTCTTGACTAACTAATCTTACAAATAAAGATACTAGGAAGGTACAGACAGGTCTGACTAACACGTGCTATGTGTTCAGAAATTAAAATGAAAGCATTGACTGTAATATTTTTCTTTGAGGTAGCATCATTTCTACACAGTTTGCATCTTTACCCAGAATGAGATGTGATTCTGAATGCTGTTGCAAAGCCCATGAAAAATACAGTTTTTCATATGAACACGAAAAATGTGGTAGACAGCTTTCAGACTGAGGTGATTCTGAGCAGTGGTTTGTATAGAGCAGCCTGTGCAAGCTGCTTCAATTTACACAGTCCAACGGTACTATCGGTTATTTGTTAGACTTCCACAAACTTCAGCACTGCTTAGACGAGATGGATAGAAATAGGTGGCAGTAATTTAAACTGTGTCTCTGTTTAGCAATTCTTATCTTTATATCTTAAGAGTGAAATAAAGGTTTGGACTGTGGCATCTGTTAGCAAAATGGAGGAAAACAATAATGCAAAACATATCATGGAAATCCAGACATTCTTTGAAGGCCCCTGCTTATATGTGGGCTACCTGATTGGCTGAAAATTAAGGTGTGTGTGTTTTCCCATTTCCAGCTATAGTGATTTTTTTTTTTAATATCAGCTGCCACAAGTATTTTGCAAGTGAAATGTAGCATATATTTTACAGACTGTAGTGAGTCAACAGCTCTGGTGCAGTCTTAATAAATTTCCCTATTGACTTTTTTGCCCAAAGAAAAAATTAGAAAATAGAAAATTAGATTTTTATTTTGGATGCTGCATACCATTGCGTTGTATAGCTGACATACTTGATTCTAGCTACAAAAAAAAAAAAAAAAAAAAAAATCAAAGTTAGATCCTGGAGCAGCTTGTTTATGGAATAGCTTATGTTCCAGGATCTAAAAGGTGAATTACAAAGTCCTGGAAGAAAGACTGCTTAAGGCCAGCATGTTTATGTGTAAATATAGAAAGATGGGCTTTTTCTGTTTAAAGCAGAATAATCTCATGAGGTTGTAATCAAACTCCAATTGTTTACCCTTGAGTGTTTTGAAGAATAAATGTACTTAAAGCAATTGCACAGGTTTATTATTTTACTCTTCCTATGTTAAGAGAAGTGCAACAACTCTTCCAAACTGTCTTTGTTGTAAACATCATCTCATTCAGTTGTCTTGGGCATAATTTTGTTTAATTCCATCCCTGCTCCCCAGGTTGGACGTTGCAGTCCGAAGTCAAATGCAAAATCTAGCCTTATAAGAACTGATGAAGTTAAACAGGCATCAACATGTAAAGTGAGAGCTCATATTTAACGGACTTCTGAGGAAACTTCATAGTATATGTAAGTGGCAGGTCTGCTTTGAAACTGCTGTAATGTGCTCTAGAACATGTCTCTCCTATGCTGTTGAAGTTTGGGTTGTGGACTTTGTAAAATTTTTTCTTTCTTCTCCTTAGATTCCCAGCAGGCGAACTTGTAAATGTGATGCACACGACCAAAAAAAGGTTTTTATTGCTGTGAAGCAGTGTGTTTGAAACTGGGGAAATGCAGGAAATAAGTGTGTGTGAAAGAAAAATAATTATTGGTGTGGCAGCTGCGGTGTGCACTCTGTTTGCACTTCAGTGTAAATGATAAGGAAGTGTAAACTTTCTGTTAGTGTGTTATAGATAACTGACTGTATATAATTGATGGTAGCTAATATTGTTTCATTAAAATGGCATAGCTGCCTCAGTTTTCTTTTGCAGTTTGCCGATGCAACTCCATATTCCATGTGCAAACAGTGTTCTAACTTATTTTGGATCAGTAGATAAACTTTAATGTTTGTGAAAATTTGTCGTGCTGTAAATAAACTGCAGGTTGTCTGTTAAATGCCTATAATATGGGGAAGTTGTATTCTGAGATAAAAAAGTCCTTGTAGAGAGATCTGCTAGCATGTAGTGTAATTTCCACATGTAAATAAACATTAACTTCTTCCTTGGCTTCTCCATATGAAGCCTGTTTTGTTCACAAGAGTTTATAAAATAAAATTTTCTTTGTATCACAGATATGTGTGGTAGTGGCATTTTGTGTTGCAGACTAATTTCATAAGAACTGATCATATTGGACAACTTCTTAAATTGTATTAGCTAAAATGAATTAAAATAGAGCTTACATTTTTTCCTGCCAGAGTACTTGGAGTCCCTTATTTATGAAATTATTATGATCCACTGCTTACAATAGCTGCCTTCACTTAATCTTTTGTCTACTGATCCTGATGTATGAAACAAAAATCCTATCAGTTAGACTGTGGACAGTGTCCCTTGTATGTCCTGCATGTCTCCTGTCTCCCTGCCTGCTTAAACAAAGTAAACTAGCAGCTGCATTCCCTCTTACTGCTGAGTCTTATTTGCACAGTTGTAAGAGATTACTGTACAAATCCCATACTTCTGTTTTAAAATTAAAAGTTGTCTTTTGACAAAAAATGGACCTTAAATGACTTGCAGTTTCATGCTTCTAAAATCATGTTTTCTAGATGGGTTTTTTAATTCAGTAATTACTGAACTTTATCCCATTCTCCCATTCCTTTCTCAGTCCATAACAGTTTGACCTTCCCTTTCTCTCCACTTTCAAAATAAGCATTTGCTGCATTCTCTACCTCAACATGCCAACTTCTATGAAATCCCTACAGAATACCCAGCCTGGCCTTATACTTAGCAAGTCTCCCCTTCTCTGGTCTCTAATATATGAGGACAGCTGGGGAGCAAGTGAAGGAATTCCATGCAGTGCTTGCAGAAGAGGATGTGAAGGCAGGTGAGTCCTGGTGAGCATAAGGCATATGAATCAGCTCCCTTTTGCTCAGTATCTGCAGTGTTATGAGGTGGAGCAAGTTATCTCCTGTATTACATCAGCATTCTTAGATCCAGGGCACCTCAGGGTTTGTGGCCGTTCTGTTGTGACTGACAAACGTGAAGGTGGAATTCTTGCTGTGAGGCTGAATCTGTGAAACTCTGGATACAGTAGTTGTCTCCCTTACTTCCATTGTTTTATGTGACCAGCAGTTTCTTCAGGAAGAATGATTATTTTGGACTCCTTTTGTATGTGTTTTCTGTTCTCTCCAGGTTTCATCATTTAACTACAAGTTTGGCTTACAAGGGCATTTTGCAGTAGGAATTTTGAATTAAAGTGCCTTCATTTTGGAAGGGAAATCTCTCAAGTTTCTTAGTACCTCTTAAACCAAGGATCTAGTGCTGGACTTCAGAAGCATCTGCAAATTTTAGTGAGCTATGTGATTCTCCAGGTTGTTGGGTACTATCACTGGTTTTTTCTGTCGGTCTGATGTGAATTGTGTGGTAATGTAGTTTGTATAGCTGATCTGCTTCCTTAGGGAAAAGAGTAAGTCATGGGCCAATGATTTTTCAACTATGTACCACCTACACATGTTATGAGAATAGATTCTGGGTTTTATCTAGATGTAAATTAGGTTGGGCATTGAGCCCTGGTATACCTTGAAGTCTGTGAGTGCCATCTGGTAACATCTGACACTTTTCAGTACTAACAAGTTGTAAAACTTGGACAGTGGTGTTAACTAATGCAAAGGTTAGTACCCACTGTGGAGGAGACTTTTCTCCGTTTCAGAACTAATGGAAACTTAGCTTTGTTGTCCTGTTTTCTTTGACTAAAACATCTCTATCAATGACTTGGAAGCAACTTGAGGTTCTCTAATGTTATCCATGCCCTGTTTACCCATAAATAACCTTATTTACATAAGGTTCCTGACTCACTAGCAATGCAGCTTTTCAAGATACAGTAGCAATATGTTCCAGCAGACCAATATAGCACTTTTTCCTGAATCTTTGTCCTCTCCCAATCTTGTGAAATGTGCCTTCTTGTCACTGAAGAAGTCTGGAAAATTTATTTTACTACCATTCCTGATTAATTTTTGGGTGGGATTTCTTCCTTCACAAGTTTCTAGGGAGACCTCTGGAATAAAAACTGGTTTTGGTTGGTTTCCCTCCCTCCCCACTAGAAAACCTACAAAAGATCTATCAGTTTTGCAATTGATAAAATTGAAACAAGATTCAATCTTTCAAATATTTTGAGTAAACGGGGCTAGAAGGGAAAGTACAATGCAGTTGTTTAAAAGTGCTCTTAAAGATTTTTTTTTCCTAGGAGATTCTAAAAGATTAAAATTCTGTATCAGTTAGCTTTCCCCTTACAAGGACACTAATAAATATAATTACCTGAACTGCCAGAATATCAGTTTGACAAACTCCCATAATATACAAGACCTGTCCAGATAGCCACTACTTGTAAGGGACATTTTGTACCTAATCTGTCATATCCATGTCTGAGACATGGAGTACGAAGTTTGGGGCGGGGGGGGAAGCACAGCAGAGAATATGCAACAGTATTCCTGGCCCTCAGTCTATTCCTTTTTTCAGGAATCGGTGACATTTTTCTTTAGTCCTACCTAAATAGTAAAATCATATATGGGGCCCTTGCAAAAGCCTAATTGACAAAGGGCTCCTGCTAAACAAGTTAGCCTTTGACTTACTAATTGGCAGCCTTGGGGAAAGTCCTGCTGGCAAGAATATTGAAGTACGTGGTGTCCCAATGTTAAGACCTTCAGCCAGATTTCACTTCTGCTTTATCTAAAATCTGTTTACCATGGTTCTAGGCAATGGGAGGTATTCATGATTCCAACTCCTGTCCTAGAATCTCAGAATAGGTCCCCATGTGATCTACTAATATGTTTTTCATAGTGACACTGACTTCAGCTACATCTGTATTACCTTCCAAGTTTACCTGAATCATCTATGAATTAATTGTGTATGATTCTTTAGAGCATTGTTGTTGCGTGTCAGTGTGAAACTTGAATAGTTTGCAGATTCTGTTCCAATGCTTAACATACTGCTGTGATGTGGCTGAAAGACACACAGAAAAATGAAGCCTTCCGGAAGTTTTCCAATGGTCAAAATGGACAGTATGAGCCCACTGTGAGGAGAGAAACAACTGAAGGTTTGACATTCATATTGCCCCTAGTCAAGAGCATGATTTGATTTAGCAAATTCCAGTTGTTCTAAGATAAAGCAATTCTAAGTGAGAAAATGCAGCGCTTTTTTCTGAACAACATTGTCCTCAATATTAGTATGAACTTTTTTCTTTCTCAGGCATACTATGAAACACGTTTGACATTGAGGATGTACTGCTATGTAAAAGATCTGTCTTATCTATAGTTTCACTGGCATTTCTGAAGAATAACCTGGTAATTCTTTTATTTGTTTAGACATTAAGATTATATAATCTAATTTCTTCAGTGTAATGTATCAGTACCTTATTTTAAAATCACAGTTAGAATAAGGTACCCAATATACAAAAGCTGCTATGTTCAGGAAGAATGTCTTGGCAACTGTGCTACATTTTTTGAAGAGAACTGATGTGGGCAGCAGTTCCTTTAGGAATTTGACATGGCTTGGAAGGCTTGCTGGTTCTCTTAAAGCTTTAATGACAAACCTCTAGAATTTGAAAACTGACGGTGACCAAAACTCTAAAAGCAAGCAGGTTCTTACATACATGTTTTTATTTTATCCTGCTTTATGTTCTTTATTTTTCAGTGCTAGTGCCTGCCATCTTACAAACTTCTCACGTGTCAGCCCACAGGCCATTCTTTTGCCTTTTATCTTGTTTGGGAGAATTATCGCCAGATATGGAGAATGATTCTCGAAACTTCTTTGAAGTGTAAGTCTAGGCATTAATTACCAAATTCTTTCAAAGTATGTGGAAAGTAAACTTTCATAATTGACTTCATAGAGTCTAAATGGTAGTTAAAAGATTTCCAAGGCAGTTAATAAGTGTTAGGACACTAACTCCTGCTAAAATGCTTGCTTTTGTCATTTTGAGGTTTTAAAATACTAAACTGATTTCTATCTCTGGAGGTGTTTAGAAAGAACATGCTACCCTTTCTCAGTTTCATTTTACAGCTTATACTTTTGTTTCTTTTTCCTTACAAAACTGTTTTGAGAATCTTTGTGCATAAAATCTACACAAGGTGGATATGTGCTTTTTATTTGGTTATATCTTTGCAGTACTTCTGTAACTTAGTATAACTTAATTGTGGAGCCATTGTAGTGTTTCTTCAATAAACGTACTGATTTTTTCCTTTCTCACCTTGCTGCTTGTATGCAGCATCATATATTTTTACAATATATATTGCAGTTCTACTCCATTTGGTTATTTCACCAACCTCTCTTATCTCAATGCTTTTTCCTGTGTTGGCATAGTCAGACTGTCTTGGTCACTATCTCCTTCAAGATTTTCTCTTTTCAAGGTGTAAGG